AGTAAACAATTACTAACGCCGATTAATCACCTCTAAAATGAGTTTCAAAATTTCCCTTCTATTCAGATATAGTTTCAAAATTTCCATCCCTTTGATCAAACAATAAGATAGTACTAATCATCAAACCCATCTCAAAGGAGAAAGAACCATGGCTTGCAAGATTAAAATCTGAATATTATGTCATGGTTTGGTAAAAAATTTTAACAAGGGTTGAAATGCGATAACCAGAGACTAAATGTAGGGAGAGATGATTTGACAAGGCAAAAGGAGTTTACATTAGATATATGTTAACGCAGGCAATGCCAATAGTCCTTGAAACTAGTGGAGGAAAATTTCCTTGTCATAAAACCTAATTGATAAGCCACGTGCTTGATGTTGACAGAATAACAAATTAATTAGGCTCAATTACGTGTCTCAAGCATCTTTCAATTTACATTGTCCCTACCATATTCTCATACTTTGTTCATAGGGTTCAATCAAGAAGAAAAGTATGTTCCCTTTGTTTATAATTATTATATGGAATGATTCTAGCATGGCATGTATGTTATTCTCCAATTTGATACTTATTAAAACTTTGTTAGGGTGACAACTTAAAAGAAATAAATTAAAAAAAACTTAAAAAAAATATGAGGAGAGAGAAACTTTAATAAGCAGGTAGCTTCACAATTATCTTCTTCTCTTAAATGATGGGAAGCTTTTGTAACATTTTTTATCAACTCTATAGCTAATTAACAGGGAAAGATGTGTGCTTTATGGCTCCACTACTAAATCATAAACCTTCTTGGAAGCCCAAAACTAACCATTTTAAATGATAGTATATTCAAAGAGGTTTTGTCTCTTTCTTTCGGGCAAAAGACCCTAGCAGCCATTAAACTATTGTTTGCATCACCTTTTGACCATTAAACAATTTTTTGTCTTAAATTTGTTACTCAATTAGCTAATCAGAACATTTGTAGTCATTAAGTTGATTTTTGCTTTTAATCTATGAAATAAGCAGAACTCGAGCAATATAAGTGTCAAATGTGAGGGTAGATTTGTCCACCACTTTCTCGACCTGAACCCATTTATTTTTTTCCTCCAAATGTGAAAGCTTTTGTCAAACAAAAAATTGGGCCTCAATTTGGAGCTCTTTTTGTCGCAGACAAAGAGCGAAGAAGATGAAGGAGAAATAAGCGATAAAAATTCTTTTGGATAAGCTTATTTATGATCAATATTCCAAATAACTTGCATTTATCAACAAGTTTTACAATTGGACCAATACTTTAGTTGAGGGAGGTCGAGTTTAGTCAACTAAGAAAGTTTTGAAGACGGACTCCTATTTCAATTGTAGTCAAGCATTTCTCTCAAGGCATAATATTTAGCTTGAATGAAAACTTGAACCTTTTGTTGATTTTTTTGGTGGATATTTGTTAGTATTTTTTTCTCATCTTTTATGTTAAATTTCAACACAATGATTTTAAAGTCATACCACATCCATCGAGTAGTCACATATGGATTATTGAAATTTTAGAAAGAAGTAGGAGAAAAAGAGCCGATAAAAAAGATAAGGGAAAGGGAAACAAGGAGAGGAGGCGGAGGCAGTGACGAAAGAATTGGCCAAACTTTAACAATAATAACAATATAGCAGCACTAAGGAAACTTAATTCCAACAAAAGCTCGCTCAAAATCCACTCTGGACCCAACCATAGAGGATATGAGAGCTAAGTTGAAAAGAAAAAATTTAGAAAAAAATAAATAGGCAAAACCGTGCAAGAGAAGAAAAATACAATTGAGAATATATTCAAAATAAAAATAATGATAAATTTATAGAAAAGAACGTTAATAGTTACCTAGAAAAGAGTATTAGTAGGAGGAAGAGCAAATGAGTAATAACTAATTTATCAATTTGAGGAAGGAATAATGAAGACAAGAAATAAAAAGGTTTTAAAAAATCATATACATTATAAATGTGAATCTATAGAAGTTAAACTCTAATATGAAGATAATTTTCTATGTTATTTTGTTTGATATAAAGTTAATATATACCTATAATATAATATAGTGCTATGTCGCCCAATAATCCAACTTTTTTATATGATGAACTCTATTGATCCCTAAACAAGATTTTATTACTTTTTCATTTGGGTTTCAAAATATTGTTAAAAGGTAAGCATTGTACTCGCGCGTGCTTACTAAAATTATACACACAGAAGGGCATTGATCGTGCTAAATATATTTTGATCACCATGATTTAGTTTAAGTCATCTAATGGATAAATTTTATACCCTTACATGAAGCCTATTGTAAGCAAATGTTGCTTCTCAACTTGTAATTAGAGCTATTTGAAGAATATTATTATTCTATTTCTAGGTCTATTAGAGCTTCTCAACACACTATTATATTAGTTATTACTATAATTTTTAGGTAGTGTCGTCTATCCAAAATAATGCATAATGCGTTGATAAATTGGGACTGGTATAGCCTGACTAGGTTACAACTTAATCATTGGTGTAAAATAACGATAAATGTATAGGAAGGAATAAAGAGATATATCTAATAAAACATAATATAGGCTACCAAACAATTTTCACATATTGCACTGCATGCTATTTATAAAAAAAGTAACGATTATTAGTTTAGATTTTACATGGAATCAAATCAAGAGCACAAAAGTGATTTCCAAGCTTGATTTCTCGTTGAATTGTAGGCTAAGAATTGAAAAAAAAAAAAAAAGAAGAAGTTGATTAGCAACATATTAATATTTATATGGCACAAGCACCTATTAGTTAAATTAAAAAAAGCATCAACTAGTCTATCGTCCATACTAACAAATAAAGGAACTTGCAAGCTTCCTTCATTAAAACCATCAGTAATGTATTAGTGTTTATGTGGCATAAATGAAAATTTTTGAAATATTTTAAAATTGGATGTGATACAATATTTTGTGTGACGGCTTTACAATTAGATTAGAAATCAATTGTTTTCAAATAGTATTTCCCCAATAGGTTTTACCTAGGCATTATAGCCAAACAAAAAAAAATTGAAGAACTGAGTAGCTAAATCTTTAATATCGAAAAAAGAATCGAACCACAATCCATCCTCCTATCTAATACGAGGAATAAAATTTTTATTTCTTTATTGCTCAACAAACCACAACTCAAGCTCGATGGCTAGCAAACATGTATGAGCAACCCTCACTTTTCCCAACCAAGTTTTGCCTTTTTTATCCCCATGTCAATTGTATAGGTTTTCTTGTCTGACATTTTGTGTGATAGATACACATGAAACTAGAGCAATAAACAATGATTCGAACAGTGAACCTATCTTAGTTTTCCCTGAAATTTAGTCATATTTGGGGGCTCTCTTCTAACATAAGCGAAATTAGTTCTCAATAGTTAAGTTGTGATTGCATTTTGTATGTTACCTTTCCATATTTAAACTTTTTCTTTGTCAAAATTGATTTTGTCATACATATGAGTATTTTTCATACGGAAAGGAAGTAATTGTTTATATATTTTGAAATACATTCACAAGCAAAGTGTTAAATCTTTTTCAACTTAACCTTATAGATGAATGTAGTGCACTAATTAGTCATTGATTTTTAATAGCTTTATTTCTTACAATATTTCTTTTTCAAAATATATAATTATGGCAAAATGTCTCAATGGCTCTCAAACCATTATAAAATTTAACTTTTGATCTTCTAACTATTAATTGATAAGTTTTAGCTCTCCAATTAATTAAAATATATAATTATATTCCTTCCGTCAACTGTTAACATGAGCCATTATGTTTTATAAAAATAGCATGACATGAGCAGTAGTAGCCCTCAAACTATTATAAAGTTCAACTTTTGACCCTCCAACTAATTAAAACATATAATTCTAACCCTTCCATATCCTTATGTCAAATAGAAACATCCCCATGTGCATGGTAAGGGCATAACCAGGGGTGTTTTTGTTGTCATAGGACATGTACCAGTGTAAAATTATTATATTCCATTGGACTCATAAACTAATTTACCAAGTCCCCAATTGCTAAACTTGTCCAAAATTAGTTGAAAACCTAAAAATCCAAACCCTGAATAGAGAAATTCTAGCAAGGATAGGCAACTTGAATTAATTGAGTTGTTTTCAATTGAAATTTAACTCATTTTTCAATGTTGTTCCATATTTAATATGTTCATGTACTTCTCTTAATGACATAAATCTCGCATACAATTCATTTTCTAGGATATTCCAATAAGTCTTGGTTCATTTCAAAGTTTGAACTTTCTAAACCTCTCAAATAATCAATTCTGTGGTGAGATTTCTCCAAACTTTACATCACTATATCTAAACCTTCTTAATTTGTCAAACACTTGGTTAGGCATATCCCAAATTCTTTATCAATAGATGTTTCTATTCGATATAACAACTCAAGTTGACGAAAAAAGGTAGAATTATAAGTTTTAATTAGTTGGAAGGTTAGAACTTATCAGTTAATAATTTGTGGGTCAAAAGTTGAACTTTGTAATAGTTTAAGGGCTACTAGCATCTCATGAATCCTTTATCTTTATTAAACATAATGACTCAAGTGGACAAAAGGATTAGGATTATATGTTTTAATTAGTTGGAAGATTAAAACTTATCAGTTAATAGTTCAAGAGCCAAAAGTTGAATTTCGTAATAGTTGGAGGGTCACTGAGGCATTTTGCCCATATAATTATAGGCATCAATTAAACTTCAATTAATGCAATTTATTATACAAAGTAAGTAGTAATAATTATTGGTTATGTTTTTTTTACTAATATCTTATATACTATAAGACAAGCAAAAGGCCAATGTTACTGTAGCAGCTCCTTTTGCTGACACATGGCATATTGGATGAATTTTGAGCCTTTTCTTTTACTTTGTCTATGGACTTTACATTATCTACTTTTCCCAAACTACCACGTTGCTGCTAGAAGGATAGGTTCTTAAGACTTCTTCTACCATATTGAGCCATGTGGTTGACTCTGGGAAGGGAGTTTACTGGGGAGAAATTTTTTTCCGTTTATGGCCTCAGAATGTTGACTACTTCTGCGAACAGTATACCACTATTGAGGTCATTTGTGTCTTTTTATGTAAAATTACTACTTTGTCCAGTGAGAAAAAATGGCTCTCAAAACAGTAGCTAACTATTTAGTGTTGTTTGTGACTTTTTGCCTACCATTCTTCTTCTATCTTTGGCTGTGTTTTCCATTCCTTTCCTTTGTACATCAGACACAATCAAGAATAGCAGCTGAACTGCTTCTATGCATGGTCAGAAAAAGCAAAGAAGCAGGTAAGCTTCTTCATTTCTCCGTATCTTTTTTTCACCAAATCCTTCTCATTCTCCACTGTAGAATACACATGGCTAACCTATCAGTGTTAATTATTGCCATGGAAACCACCAATTGTTTCACAGATTGAGTTTACTTTTTGGCACTTTTTCTCTTTCGTTACATTTTGTGACATTGCGTACAATACAAGAGAAGAAAAGAGAACTCCAACAAGAAAGAGTTCTGGAGAAAGGGCTGCAGGAAAATAAGAATTTATTTTTTTTCCCTTTTGGTTCTGAATTTAATTTTCGCCTTTTAGGTCTTTATTAGATGATATTCTAACTTTAGTACAAAAATTTCCTTTTGCTTCTTTTCTGCTAAATGTGAATATATGTGTCAGTGAATTTTTTCTTCATTTTGTTTTTTTCCTTTTTTAAAAATTTTTTAGTAGCTGTTCTTCATTTTGTTCTTTCAATTTTCTCTTTTTTTTTATTAGATGATGTTCTGATATGTGAGATGTTTTTTTTTTTGTGTTGTTTCTTTTGGTTGCAATGATTTATCTAGCAAATACAGCTATTCAAGCAAGTTAAGGTTTTGTGAAATCTCAGAGACCAATGGCCATCAAGTGTTTGATAAAATATCTGTGTGAAACTTGGGATAGCAGAGCAAACATGGAGAGAATGATCGCACAGGTAAATTCTACTCCGATCTATATCATTTTTTTCTCTACGGCCAATTCCTTCTATGTTTTTTAGGGCACTTTATCTTTCCTTTTCAACATTTTTTTAGGGCACAAAGTATCCTATCAAGAAGTTAATTATTAGTAGATTAGTAGTTGGAAACATAGTTTACAGTTTTTTGTGCTGTAGAAGTTGCCGATTCAAGTATGTCTTACACTTCATCTTCATATAATAACTTTAAAAACTTATGGTTACCTTTTGTCCAGGTAAAGAGCTACTACATAAATTCTGATGGTACCGATGTAATATAGGATACGATTGAGAATTTCCAACTGTAGAAGTCGAAATTTTGTATTGTTACTTTGTTATCCCTACACATATCTTAGATATATCATATGTATTGTATTCCAAAGTTTAATATAAAATTTCTAAGATACATCATATGTATCTTAGATATATCATATGCACATATCTTAGAAATTTTGTATTGTTAGTTTCTTATCTCTGCACATGTTGGTGTACTTAAGAGTTTAATTTCAGGGACCAAAGGGGACGTTGTTGACACCATTAACGGTGATTTTGGCAAGTGAATTTATTCTGGGAATGATGGATCTAAGATGAACTTGGCTAATGCGGTGGCTTATTCTCTCCTACGAGTGCTAATGGGCTTGTCAAGAGTATTGGAGCTGGTGGAGTTGAGAACAGAAGTCAGCAAACTTTTGTAGGTTTTGGGGTTGGAAAAGAAATTATCCCTCAGTCATCTAAGCTAGCTCAAGAGAAGAAGCCCTAGGTTTCTACTGCTAATGGTCATGCTACAGCCCTTGCTGCTAAGTAAATTTTTCTCCTTTCCTCTGCTGCTTAACATCATAGGAAATAAATAAACTCTTAAATTTTTGTTAATTTCTAGTTCACTGTGTTTTGTTGGAGTAACAAAAAGAAACGTTTATGTATTGTTGATAACAAGAGCCTAAGAGGCAAAATTGCTGAAATGATAACTAGAACCACTGTTGTCCAATTAATTTCTTTAATAATCTTATTTCATTATTTAAAGGACAGTCTTTATGAACTCATTATGATTCGAATTGAAATTCATATTCTTATGGTGAAGGCTTGAACTTAATAGTATCCTATAATAACACCCATTGCTTTAAAGACATAGAACTTGCATGTTTAACCATGGCTTTGGTACATGTTGACTTAAGACTTCCGAGTTTCAATTTAGTTTTGCTAAAAATGTCAAGTTTTGGTTGATTTTTTCTTAGAAACTTTTGGCTTAAGACCCAAAAATCTATCCATGTTGAGATAGAATGTACCATTAGATGCCCAACATGCAAGGAAGAAACTGGAGTTGAAGCGAGGTAAATGCTATTATTTACTTTTATAATGCTAGAATTGGTAAATCATTTACAACAATTATAACTTCTAATTTGCTTTAGGTAATGGCAAAATATGATAGGTGTCGCTTGGGATTTGTGGTAAATGATGTAACAGGATCTTTACATGCTGTAATTTTCAGTCCATATGCTTAGAAATTGTTATCATATACTGCTTTTCATCTAGCCAGCTGATGACCAAGTAAGTTCAACTCCATGAGCTATAACTTGATGAGTTGTTGCATAATGATGAGTACAACTTGATAAATGCGCTTAAATGCTCTTAGAAGAACAATTGTAGGAAAGGATTGAAATATTATACTAAAAAGTCATATTTTTCCTTAAAGAATTAATGAGGCTTTGTTCAACTTATTTGATCCATTTTATAGCTTTAAGTTTTGCTTATTGGATTAATTCTTTTGTATGACATTTTATCATAAGTTTACCCTTACAAATTCACGTATAGCTTTTGATCTTGACTCTTGAGATATCCTAAAGCCTTATAAGAGCATTCTTTTGGTCAGTTGGAAATAATTGAAAAAGATAAGCTATCTCAGTTATGGCGTTGGCTTATAAATTTCTACTATTTGGTTTTTGAATGAGGCTGCCATAAAAAAAATGACTCTGTATGCTTTAATAAGTTATTTGTATCTAACGTATCTGCTTATCTGTTAAAATTTTAGAATGTTGCCTTAGTTTTGGATTGTAAAAAGCCATATTGCTTCGCAGTTGGAAATTGCACAGTCAACATGTAATTGTTGATTAAATATTTCAAACAAATATTTCGAACAAAGTTCACTAATGAAATTAAGGATGCTACACATTTTGCTAAACTAGCCTCTCATGTTGAGGGGGTTACAATGGTTTTTTCATCCATGCTTTTAATCTGGAAAATCCAAGGACAAAAGGACAAGGAAAAACAACACTATCAAAGCATACGCTACTGAGGTTGGAGGTCAAATTTCGACAGCAATCCCAAATGAAATCACAAAAGATGTTCCCAAATTTCATATCAATGCTCAAGATCCTTTATGATGGCGTTCTCATAAAGAACTTGATGGAGTAAATGCAAGTTAGCAATCTAATTAGTGGGCAGTCAGTATTTCAATTTATAGTTGTCTAGGATATAGCACTACTAAAAAGTTTATGACAGTCTGCTGAATTACTTGGTAGTGGGAAAGTAGAAAAGATGTTAATATTGAACCAGTGCTCAATTTCTAAACTCTGTTATTTTACTCAAATGATGAATTTGTATGCTTAATTCTTCTTTCTCCCTTTTATTAATCTTCTAACTTCCTTTAAACAATTTTCTTCTTACAGATTCGGATGATTGCAGCTCTCAGCTCCATTAGTTTTTAGCATATATAATAGAACCAATCATTATAGCATTTTTTTTCCTTTTTGGCTTTGGATTCTTGAAAAAATTACTGTTGAGATTTTAAGTAGGATATAAATTATGTCAATATTTTGAAACTACAAAATTGAAATACAATTCTAGAATTTTACCTAAATGAAAAATGTATTTATGAACTATAATTATGATCTATTAATTTTTAATCCAAAATTCAAGAGATCATGATACACAGAAAATGGTACATTAAATGTTATACAATTGAACTAACATTGCCACTTAATATATTCCAAGGAAAGGGACTCTTGTGCTTTCTTAAGAAAGCAACTCCAAGAGAAAAAACAATTAAAGGAACAGCTTTTGCCATTATCACAAGCTATGAAGTTGAACAAGTCCTAGCTGGCCAGCAGACTTAAATGAACCTTCACAATGATTATGCATAAAATTAGTTTCCAACAATGTAATGCTTATGTGCTTCAGAACTGAACTACTTGTGTTTTAATTTAATTATCTTGTATCTATTTATCATTTGTGTTAATTCGACTTAGCTATTTTGATTTGCTACCTATGTATGTTTTAATTCTATTATCTTGTATTTGTCTATCCTTTATGTTAATGTACTTCAATTTAATCTCTTTTACCTTGAAAAGCAAATCTATTGATAAGTTATAAATCCAATTCATATATAGATGTCCCTCTATCAAACACAAAAATTTCTGCAAAAATGCTAACCATTATTAATCCTACTATTTTTCAATTTCTCTACGTATATTGCTGAACAAATTATACATATAATTTTAAAACAAAAAAGTATATAAGTATATTATTAATTTGTACCTGAATTAAATTTGTTAAATAAAAAATGTAGACAATAATAAATCCAGTGACAATGACAAAAAAATGTATATTTGAAAGCTATGATTCAAAGAGGATAAAAAAAAGCATCTTAATGAAATGTAAGAAAGACATATATATTTTTCTCATCAAATTTGCATGCTATACTTGGTGGTAATTTCAGTTAGCATTAATGACTCATATTTTAACTAAATATTAATGTATTAATGACTCAAAAGAAAATTGACAAAAAAATGACAAAGTTCATTTGTTCAAATTTAAATACTGATAATCCAATTTCTCTCCATTTCAGTAATATACATACTTTACATATACTTTCACACATGACACTCTACTGACAAACATTCTATCAAATTTTGCTAGCCTTTAACGTTTCAAGGTGGGCATTGGCTGTGCGTGGCACAGCCAACACTTACTAGTGTTACTCTAAAATGAACTATAAACTAGCAAATCCAATTCCATGTTACTAAATCTTTTGATAGCTTGTTGAGTAGTATATCCACACTATGGTACGAATTTTCTTTACTGAAAATGATTATGTAGACTTCTTATCCAAATGGGTTAATTCCACTTTGTCCTCCCAAACTTTGGACGATTACCCACTTAAATCCCTAAACTTCAAAATGGGACACTTAAGTTCCTAAACTTATAAATACCTCATACTTAAGTCCCTAAACTTATAAAATGGGACATTTAAATCCCTAAACCCTTATAAAATGGGACACTTCGACCACCAACGGCATTCAGGATTTGTTAACAATTTTTCTTAAGTGGGAGATATTTATAAGTTTAGGGATTTAAGTGTCCCATTTTGAAGTTTAAGGACTGAAGTGGGTAATCGTCCAAAGTTTGGGGGGACAAAGTGGTATTAAGCCTGTCCGAATTGTGGAAAACTTACTCTTATGAAATATATGCATTATGATTACACCCTATTTGACATAGATTATATATATCAGCATTTGACATGGAAGAAGCAATTTTTTCAAGGTGTCTTATCTGTGGAACATAGAGTAAGATGTGGGACAATTGAAAAAATTCAGGGAACACTTTGTTCTTACTTCATACTACTTTTGGGAAGCAAATCATTTTGCAAATGTTTTATCAAATATTGGCCTTTCCAATGGTGTTAACGCATTATATTCAAAGTTTCCATTGATTACCAATGGAAGTCTATGAAAAAATTCGAGTTGATAGAATTGGTCTTCTTCTTTTAGATGTAATATAGTTAGATTTTAATTCGGCCTAGGAGAGTAGTATCCCTTTTTTAATTACTTTCCACTTGTAAAAGGTAAGGGTATGTCCTTATCTATTTCAGCTTATTTTTTATAAATTTTGGGGTGGCATTCTTCCCTTGTGTGTCGAGTTTATTGTTTAAAAAAAATACATGAAAGGTGCATTTAGATTTGTTGTAACTATTTTTTATGCATTGCAAATGTAGTCCATATAGGTAGTACTACTATTGCTTCTTTGAAGGCATGGTAGTAGCTACGAGTAACAAAGACCCAGGGATCCATGTAGATTCTTTGAGGGAGATGGGGGTTAGGGGTATAGCTGGGACGAGTAGTAACAAGTTTGAGAAGGAGAGTAATATTAGAGAACAGAAAAAGGAAGCTATGGAGAAGAAGTGGAAGGATTTTTTGAGTGATAACAAGGAGTTGGACAAGAGTGTGGAGCAAGAAGAGGGGAAAGGGGAAAATCAGGAAAAAAAAAAAAGAGCTGGTGGAGAAGGAAAAGATAGAAATCAGTAAGGTGGTTGTGGATTTGGGGAATAGGAAGTGTAGTACGCCTGGTCTTGCTCCAGTGGAAATGATGATGGAGTTGGTGCCAGGGCAGGAGGTTTTGGACAGTTTGGAAAATGGGGGCATAAATTGTCGAACAAATGAGAGCGGAAACAAAGGTAGCAGACTACCAGTCAACCAGAGCATTCAAGGGAAGGGTAAATGGAGAAGAAGCTCACGGAATAAAAGAGCTCCATTACGGGACATCACTGGCAGAGAGCAAATTCGCTCGTCTAGAGAGAAAAGGAAAGGGATGCTGGATAATCAAGGTCTGGATATCATGGAGGAAGATGTGGAAGAAGGCTCGAGTTTGAAGCTGGCAAAAAGGGATGATAGCACTGGTCAACAGGGAGGGGAAATGGAGGCTAGCCCCTCCACCAGTGCAATGAAGATGGCGGTGTGGAATTGTCGAGGTGCAGGAGGCCCCTTGACAATTCCCCAACTGAAGGAGGTAATTCACCTCCACTCTCCTAGTATTTTATTCCTGTGTGAAACAAAAAACCAGGAGGTTTTTATGAAACAAGTGCAAAAAAAAGTAAATTTTGAACATAGCTTTATAGTGAATCCTAAGGGTAGAGCTGGGGGATTAGCTCTTTTCTGGAAGGAGGGAGTGGTGTTACTGGATGTGCAGGGTTCGGATTCGTATATTGCAGCGAAAGTAGTGGATAATGAAACAAATGACAGCTGGTGGTTTGTAGGGGTGTATGCTAGTACGGAAGGTAGAGTTAGGAAACATTAGTGGGAATTCATTAAGGAGAAAAAACGAGAATGGGGTGAGAAATGGGCTGTGATGGGAGACTTCAATGACATTTGTTCGAATGGAGAGAAATGGGGTGGGAATGAAAGATCTGAGGGAAGTTTTACGGATTTTAAAGGTTTCATCTCTGAGAACGAGCTAGTAGATATTGGTTTTGTGGGGGTTCCATGGACTTGGTGCAATACATGGGAAGGGGAAGGGGAGGTTAAGGAGAGGTTGGATAGATGTTTAGGGAGTGTGGGTTGGGTGCAAGTCTATGAAAAGGTAACCTGTGAGCATATTGGAATGGAGGCTTCAGATCACTGCCTACTAATGGTGGACACAAAACCGCAACAAAGGAATGGGAGGAGACGTTTCTTTTTCGACCAAAGGTGGGCAAAGGACAAAGCAACTGTGCCTGTGATTCGCACAGCGTGGGGAAAAGAACAAGATGGATCCAGGATGTATAAAGTTACAAGAAAAATTAGGGAGTGTAGAGTAGCTTTGATCGAGTGGAACAGAACAACAAAAGGTAATGCAAAGCTGAAAATCCAGGAAATTAAGGAGCAATTGAAGGTTGCAAGAGAAGCGGGTGAGCTGTGTAACAAAGGAGTCATTGCAACTTTAAAATTCCAGCTAAGTAAAGCTTACAAGGAAGAGGAGCTATATTGGAGTCAGAAGTCCAGAAACAGATGGCTCAAGGAGGGAGACAAAAATACGGCCTTTTTCCATCAAAGTGTTTTAGCTAAAAGGAAACGTAACAGAATCAGTGTGCTCCAAAAATCTGATGGGAATTGGTGTAGGAGCGACAAGGAAATTGAGGAGGAAATGTGTAACCACTACAATGAACTTTTCATGTCCACCAATCCCACAGAATTTGAGGAGGTTTTACAAGGCATACCGTGCACTATTTCCAATCTCATGAATGCTCAGTTGATCAAACCTGTGGACGAGGGGGAGATTAAAAAGGCCATTTTTTCTATGTTCCCCAACAAAGCTCCAGGTGTTGATGGTATGTCCCTGTGTTTTTTTCAATCTTACTAGGACATTATAAATGCTGACATTGTCCATGCCATTTCTACTTTCTTTCATACAGGTAATCTGCTTAAGACCATTAATGAGACCATCATTTCCTTAATTCCAAAGGTTGATAATCCTGTGATGCTTTCTAACTTCAGGCCTATTAGTCTTTGTAATGTCTTGTATAAAATCATTTCCAAGATTTTGGCTAATAGACTGAAAAGGGTCCTTAAGCATTGTATCAGTCCCTCACAGTCTGCTTTCATTCCTGGCCGGCAAATCTTAGATAATGTTATTATTGCGCATGAACTTTTGCATTTCCTTAAAAGTAAGAGAGCTGGTAAGGTAGGTTTCATGACCCTTAAACTTGATATGTCTAAAGCCTATGATAGAGTGGAGTGGAAGTTTCTTGGTAGAATCATGATGCAAATGGGTTTCTGCCCCACATTTGTTCGTTGGATCATGACCTGCATTTCCACGGTTGCTTACTCTTTTAATTTAAATGGGCAGAAAGTGGGTAGTGTGAAACCTTCTAGAGGGATTAGACAAGGAGATCCCTTATCTCCTTACTTATTTATCATCTGTACGGAAGGGCTTTCAAACCTGATCAAGAAAGCTGTGGATAACAAGCATCTAACTGGAATCAAAATTTGCAGGGATAGTCCTATGGTTTCTCATTTATTTTTTGCATATGACTCCCTATTGTACTGCAAAGCAAGTAAAAAAGAAGCCCAAAAGCTTAAGGAGGTTCTCAGGATATATGGACAAGCATCCGGGCAGGATGTTAATTTTGATAAATCTGCTATGTTTTTCAGTAGAAATTCTCCCAAGAGGATTAGAGGGGAAGTCAGTAAAGTGCTGGATAATATGAAGGAGGCGAATAGTGGTAAATATCTAGGCCTTCCGATGACAATTGGGAGAGATAAAAACCAGGTTTTTGGCTTCCTGATGAACAACATTAGCAGTAAGCTCCAGAATTGGAAACAAAAATTGCTCAGTCAAGGGGGTAAGGAAGTTTTGATCAAAGCAGTTATCATGGCTATGCCAACGTACATTATGTCCTGCTTTAAATTACCCAAGGGTCTGTGTAAGGCTGTTAGTGCTAAGATTGCGAGGTTCTGGTGGGGTGGTGGGGAACAGGAAAATAAGGTGCATTGGGTTAGATGGAGTAAGCTGTCTGAGGTGAAAGGGAAAGGGGGTATGGGTTTTAGAGACCTGGAAGCTTCTAATTTGGCTATGCTTGCAAAACAAATTTGGAGAATTGTGATTAATCCAAATTTGTTAGTAAGCAAAGTCTTGAAGGCCAGGTACATGAAGGAGGAGGATTGGTTAGGACAGAAACCCCCTAATAATGCTTCATGGTGCTGGAAAAGTATGCATAAGGGGGGGGAATTGCTTCAAAAGGGGTTATGGAAAAGGGTGGGGGATGGGAGGTCAGTGAGGATTTGGCAGGATAAGTGGATACCTGGGCTGGTGGATGGAAGAGTTCCCACGGCTAGACCAGTAGGTTGTCATCTAGAGTTTGTTAATGAGCTTATAGAGGGAGGGAAGTGGAACATTGGTCTTCTGCAGCTTTGGTTTAATGAAGATGTAGTAAACCAGATTTCTAATATTCCTCTTAGCTTGTATAACAGAAAGGATAGATTATTCTGGAAACACAGCAAGTCTGGAATCTACACGGTGAAGACCGGATATGTGATTGCCAAGGAGGAAAAGGAGGTAACAAATCAAAGGCCAGCACCTGATCCGGAAACCAGCTGGGAAATAAGAAAGCATACAGTTTGGAAAACCTTGTGGAGCCTAAACATTAAGCTGAAATTGAAACATTTCCTATGGAGATGTCTACAAAATGGTTTGGCCACTAAGGATGCTCTCTATAAAAGGTTTGGCATAGGGAACAAGTTTTGTCACTGTTGTGGGGAGGACATGGAAACTATCGAGCATATCTTCTTCACCTGCCCAACAGCGCAAGTAATATGGAAGATTGCACCAGTTCGGTGGGAAGGGCTAGCTAAACTTCAAGGCAACATGTGGAGATGGTGGGAGGCGGTGTTGCAAGCAGCAAAAAAGTCTGAAGGTGTGGGCAGAATCCAACTTACAACAAACATATTATGGCAAATCTGGAAAGCAAGAAACAAGGTTACTTTCCAGCAGGAGATAACTGATGCAAAGAATATTGTTGACAAGGCACAACAGGAATGGATCGAGTATGAGGCAGCAATGGAGGCAGACACGGGTCCAAATTCTGAATCAGAAAAGGCAACACCAATCCAGCAGCGTTGGGAACCTCCAAAGGAAGGAACAATAAGGATCAATACGGACGCTGCCATCTCGGCTAAAATGGTCAGATCAGGTCTTGGAATCATTGCAAGGAACTGGCGCGGAGAAGTAGTGAGAGCAAAAGGAATTACTGCGAGGAGGAAAGGAATTGCAGCCACTGAAGAAGCTCTAGCAATCAGGGGGGCGCTTGAAATGGCTCAGATTGCAGGATGGACAACTATAGAAGTCCAATCAGACTGCAAGCATGTAGTGAGCCTCATTAACATGGACAATGGACAGGATTGTAGTCTCCAAACAATCCTGGATGACATTGACGTTCAGAAAGGAAATTTTGAAAGCTGCACGTTCACTTTTGTACCTAGAACGGTGAATCAGTGTAGCCATGAATTAGCACAATTTGCAGCTAAGTCAACTAGAGACTTTGAATGGGAAGGTTCTTTCCCAGCTTGGCTTTCAAGTCTAGTTAGGAAAGATATGGGGGTAGTTACCCCTTTTTGTAATTAACTCTTGAATTTTCAAGGGGTGATAGATATATATATATATGAAGTTATCGTTTGTAAAAAAAAAAAAAATACTATTGCTTCTTTGAGTAGCAAGATAAAAATAAAAAAATTTAAAACTTTGCCAAAAGGGCAAATAGGAATTAAATATTTGTAGGTAAGATTTAACTTTATACAACAATATAAAAATGATGTTGTGGGTATTGTTCAATGCATTAGAAAATTAAAATTTCCTCCAAAAATTACACAAATGTTTCTAATTAATTAACACCCGGAATAAAAATTACTTCAAAACTACAAGAACACTGCTCTAAGTTAAAAAAAATACAACTATGTGTAAGACAAGAAAAATTTGTATGATTAGTTTATGCTAATATTCACAATTAGAATTGGTTTCCAATTTTTTGCACAATTGGTGTATATGTCTATAATACTATTACTGCATCTTTGAGTGTGAAGATAGGCATAAAAAAATTCCTCTTGATTTGCTTCCAATTTTGCCTTGCTTTGCTACTGTTATCTCCACTTCCATGCCTGTATCAGAATATATAAATTTTTCCCAAATATACAACTTAAGTTTAATAACAAAAATAAGATTAGCTTATAATTTTAGTTTACTTTCTTACACAAATTGAATGAATGTAATAGTTTGTCTTATCCTATTAAATTTTTAATAGTTTCTCTAGGATGATGTTTATTCATTTGGTAGTAATACTTGTATCAATACCATCAATTTCATTATATTGTTCTTCACTTTCTACTTTATTAAATCCCCACTATTTGTTAACTGAATGTCACTTCTTTTTCATTTATCCATGGTCCTTATAATAATGTGAGAATGCTTAACATTTTGGTACGTTAATAGTTTTTAAAAAAAATGTTTACTCATGATGCAACCCTAGAGCCATACAACATGATTAGGTTGATCACTTTTCTCTATCTCTCTAAATTACTTTGTTTATTTACTCTCCAAAATCGTAATGAATATCAAATGACTTATGTTATCAATTAGTATTAATGCTTGCAAACCTTGAACACATTTAAAATTTCATGATAAGGGTTTGTTGTTTTTCCTCAATTTACAGCTCCAAATTGTTTTTCCTCAATTTATTGCTTTATCTTTGGTATTGTACACATTCGACCAATGTGTGCACATTTCTATTACTAATGTACATACACTAAGATGGATATGCATACATTTCAGTGTATGCTCCAGGACATTGAGACCTTTTATTATACATATCATTAATAACTGTTAGAGAAAAATCACAAAAAAGCACATTAATATCAATACACTTGGGTATTTATAATTATACACTTGAGAAATTTTCAAACTCAACTAGCTAAACCATTTATAAAATAAACTAGGGCTGAGCGCGGGAGTTGTAACCTATGTGGAGGATGTATTTTGTAAGTGAAAAATGTGATCAATAGCTTCTCATCTATAAAGCATATCGTACCAAATTTACAGGCAAATTAACAATTGCCATCGCCTACTTTAGTTCACACTCAATTAAGTCAATCTTCTAGAAAAAAACAAACAATTTATAGATTGCAAGTTTACAACCATATAGCTGATTATGCAATGAAAATTGTGGACCTATTCTTCCACAGTAAATCGATCATCATATTTATAGATAAAAAAGCAAGCATATAGATGAAAAGAAAGAAAGAAAGAAAGAAAGAAATCAAATAGGAAAAAAATCAACCCTGTAGCTGAATGGACCAATAATTCTACTGCAGAAGTTCATGAAAAATTTACATCCAACAGATGATGCATCACTGCAACCAACTTTAAAAAAAATAATAAAACAACTAAAACATAAATTGTAACAATTATATGAGATACATATTTGAACTTTTTCTGCAAACCAAGAAGAGGTTGAAGAACTGAACAGAACTGACTTTTTACTTAAAAATCTGATGGAACTAAGACTTGAAAGATGGTACTGAAATAACATAAAGACTATATCAAGGATAGAGGTGCTGCTATAAAGTACCTCGATGAGAAAGCTTCTACAGGATAGTTCCCTTGCTTCTCAATCTACCAAACGTGGAAATTGCACAATCGAGTTTCAATTCTAGTTGGCCCTTCTAAATTGAACAATGAACTCACTAGTTCATTTAGAACTTTTATATTCACACAAAAAGTATGTACCTGAAAAAACATAGAGACGAAAACCTTACTAGTTCAACCACCACCTTAGTAATATGAAGATTAAGCACCTCATGCAACCAGACTTTGTGTTAACGACCCCCTTTATTGTAGGTTCCAAAAAAAAAAACTGCTCAGCAAATGCTTCAGAAACTCAAGATGATTTCCGTTTTAGTTCAGACATGATTTCCAATGGGTCCCTTATCTTCTATGCATTACTATTACATTAAAGAACCCATAATTGCTTACTCTAATCATCCAACTCTTTACAGCAGCGCAATTCATTTTGTAAAATTTCAGAAGCAGAAAACCTTGCCACTACACTTCCACTATCAAGCAGAGAATTAATCTTGTTATAAATGCATTCGTATTAGGCTAATCATGTTTCAGTTACTCAACATAACCCCTTGAACTCTTTGCACAATGCATGACCATTAATGGCTGTTTGAACTGCACCACTAATGGCTACTTTGAAAAGTAAAGCTAAAACACTAACCCGCTAAGGCTAAGATGGGTAAAGTATGCACCAATCCGCATACCATGGTGGTATTGGACCCTTATTCAGTTGTAGACTCTTGATGCATTGACTAAATTGTCCCTTAAAATGTCAGATGAAAATCATCCAACAGTCAAACACTAACTCCTTTATATATATATATATATATATATATATATATATATATACTAGGGAGGGATAGCTCGTGCGACGCGCGGGAATTTGGTGCTTGTGATTCAAGATAATTAATAATTATTGTTTAATATTTTGTAGTATAGGAACTGACGTATGATGATTTTATCATGTGATTTTAATAGAAAAATCATAAGTTACATAGTGAGTCAATAAAAATAATGTGCAATGAGACATCCTTATCGTTATACTATATAAGAATCCGTTGTGATCAAAGGTTATGTTTGAATTTCAACTGCAAAGATAAGGGTAGTTTGAAAATGTAAGAATGTTTGAAGTGCAATTGAAAAGTATCCAAAGGTCTCTTCTAAAACTTATCCAAGATGATAAAACATTTTAAAGTATCAATTGGACCCTTCATCTCTCGAATCTATATATGTTCGTGAAAGATTCCTCAAGGAATGGTTCTGATTTCTCCCTCGACTTAAGTTCAACCTGAATTATCAAGTCAAGTTTATTCATCAATCACTTTGCGTCCAATCTAATTTAAAATAATTTTATTTTTGACTAACTATTTATATAATTTGGTGGGTATAATATGACTTAATCACATGTTTCTTGCAGAGATAATAATGCCCAAAAATGATAGATAGATAAGAAATTTAAGTGGTCTTTTTCAAAGTTTTGTAGAAACCATTCAGATTTGGTATTTTTTGCTAGGGGCATTTCTTTATAATCTTATAAATAAGTTCAAATCTGCATAATTGTTAAAGATCTGAATTGAAACTATCTTGATTATAAAAAATTGGTGCAAATAATATTTTCTAAATTTGAAAATGTAGAAAATGGTAACTAAAATCAGAAGAAATTCCTCATATGAATTCGAATTGCAAATTATAGATAGAAACTGCTTAATGATATTTTTCAATGTTTACTTGTATAAGTATCCAATATAACATCCCTACTTAATTGATTCGTTTGAACTATGGATAATAGTTGCTTCAATCAAATCAAGAAATATTATTTATCATTATACAACATACAATTATGAGTAAATGAATTAATACAATGCAATCAAAATGGTACTATAGCTAAAGCATTTAAACTCATCAAGTTCCACTACAAATTTTTTTAGATAGCATAAAAAAATAAATTTTTTGTATTTGAAACTATATAAACAATATAATACAAGAACGAGATCATAACATGTAAAGCAAATAGAGTGCAAATGACATCTTAATACTATGTAGCATGATTAATTTTCTTTTTTAGTTTCAATGAAGTACAAAATTCTAAGTTAATAAATTTTACAATCACAAAATTCCTAATTGAAATAAACACAAGCTGAATTTCAAATCATATTACATGAAAAAATAACTACTTGAATCATAACTGCTGGAATGTAGTCAACAGATCCCTAGAGTCAAGAATAATAGAAGAAAGTTCATGAGAAATAAGGTTATTTAACTTAAATAAAGAGATAATACCTTGGCTGAGGAGGAGAAGATGATAAAATTGCTTTTCTGATTATTTTAGAAAGTGATAACATTATCTCAAATTGTACTTTGACCAGAGACAGAATTTCTGGGATCTACTAAGAAAAACAATACAATTAGTCAGTTTTTGGAATTAGAAGTATCAAAAGGTAAACTATATGGAGTTCTTGAATAAACCAATCATCAGAAAAAAAAAATTACAATTGAAGAAAACAAACCCAAAGAACTCACCTCAATTTAAAGGAAAAGCTATGCATTCCACCAAATATTTAATAGCCATAATAAAATCAAAGAGATGAAACCGAAAAAGAAGAAAGGGTATCGGCTAAACATGGAGACATAAATATGATAATGATTGTTCAGATAATAATTAAGTTAATTAATTGTAATTAAAATTTAATTATGTAAACATCCAAATAATTCCTTAACGGATGAGAAAGGTTTCAGGAAATTGGAAGGCTTGGATGTTAGTATAATAAATGATTAAAAGGACTTTTATGTAATTCTATCAAAATACAAGCTTTATTCAGTTGTACTTGATACTCAACTTGACATTAAACATTGTAACATACCAAATATGTTCCTAACTTTAAATGTTTGAAAGGTTATATAAGTAATTATAATCAAATTAAAGCTATAATGACTTGTACTCAATATTCCAATTACTCTTCAAACACTCTCACATTCCCAAAATAGCCTCACCCCTGCGGTTGAAATCTAGTTCT